AGTTGATTTAGGCCGGGGCTATACACGGCGTATTCCGCCGCGTTTCGAACGCCGCGTATTCCGCAGCGTTTTCCGTCGAATTAAAAACGCATTGGTTTAAATCGGAGCAGCTATACACGACGGGCGTAATACGCCGAGTTTTCCTCCGCGGCGGAAAACGCAAGCCGACCGGCGTTTTTTGCCGCCGTGGAAAACGCGGCATATTACGCCCGTCGTGTATAGCTGCTCCGATTTAAACCAATGCGTTTTTAATTCGACGGAAAACGCTGCGGAATACGCAGCGTTCGAAACGTGGCGGAATACGCCGTGTATAGCCCCGGCCTAAATCAACTGCGGAAAACGCAAGTCAGCCCGCGTTCTGTGGTCAAACGCTGAAGTAATAAAAATCAAAACTCCTAAGGCCCGTTTCACATGAACGCGTTTCATACGCGACGTATCGTACGCGCGCGTTTTCCATTTTACATTGATTAAGTTCATACGCGCCAAACCGGCGAGGGAAACGCCCCATCGTCGGAGTGGCGCGTATGAATTTGACCAAGGTAAATTACAACGCGCGCGTACGATACGTCGCGTATGATACGCGTCCATGTGAAACGGGCCTTAAGGCCTAGTTCACATGAGAGCATTAAACGCGCGTTTGGCTAACGCGCGTTTAGAAAATTTACACAGGATGAATGACGACGCGAGTTAACGCCTTGCAACGCGTCGGAAAGCTGTAAACGCGCGTTAAAATACAGCTGCATTCATTATTGTAAACGCGCGTTTAACGCTCTTCATGTGAACCTAGCCTAATACGATATTCAAACGCGTGTCAGTTTCATTGATAAGGATGACGCTACTCTGACCATGGAGGGTTTCCCTTTGCGTAACGGGCCTAAGTGACGTAACACTGGTATTTGTTGTCTCCGACTTACCAGTGCGTAATATAGCATAATATTACGCTCGGCAGAACACTTAACATTACGGTGAACGTAGCTGCGACATTTAAATTCTATATTACTCAGTTATTTTTGTCCATTCTGGGATTTCGATGATAATGTCAGGGAGGTTGTAAACGTATCAGCAGCTGTTATCTAAGCCATGTGATTAAGTGATACTCATTATAATATTTACATTTTTATTACAGACACAGAATGAAGAACTGCCTTTTCACCCAAATAGTCGCAATGCCATAATTTTATGTATGGCCGACGACGAGTTTACGTCAAAATATGTGGATAAAATACTAGGATTCCGGTCACACAAGACCAATACAACAACATTCCAGATGAAGTTATCGAGTGTGGAAAAAAGAATATGGACATTCCAAGAACAGTTGTATGCCAGTTCTGTAACCAAAAATTGTTGTTTTAGGTTTGTTATTTCTTGTTATAAATTGTTTTGAAATATTTGAGCAATATGTGTTTATGATAGTATATTGAATTTCAGGTATGAACCATGTATGAGGTATGCTAATGAGAAGGGATTCGGAGCAAAAATTATATCGAATGTCCGCATAAAAAAAAATAAAGTTATTCCTGGTTTAGGAGGACAATCATTTTTTATTCATGACAATGATATTAAATCTGGCGTTAACGATTTTTCAATCTTTACCCTCAGCCGTACCCTAAAACAGCATGTTTACCTAGGCCCAGCTGCTTATATAAACCACGACTGTGAGTCAAACACAGTTTTTTCATCAATGGGTGTTCAGTCTTACGTGCAAATAAAGTCAGTGAAAGAGATTCTCCCAGGACACGAGATTACTGTGTTCTACGGTAGTGATTATTTTTGCGAAGATAATGCTAACTGTGAGTGCATGACGTGTGAAAACAATAAGAAGGGCTTTTTCTCAAAAAAAGTTAACGACCAGCCAGAGACCGTCAATGTTCCTGCTTCTACTGAAACCAAAGGTAATACAGCTGTTTTTTTGTTTTACATTCTACTTTTATCTTGTGAATTTCTTCCCTATCGTCAATTATATTCCTATATTGCTCACACAATATACAATTGTACATACCACATATCAATTTCAATAATTTTACTTTAAGCATTTTCTTTTTTTTAAAATACATTATAACATTAGTTCTTACTTATATTACAGTAGAGAGTATGGCAGTGGACGACATACCCACGACAACAGTCAACGACCGGCCAGAGACCGTCAATGTTCCTGCTTCTACTGAAACCAAAGGTAATACAGCTGTTTTTTTGTTTTACATTCTACTTTTATCTTGTGAATTTCTTCCCTATCGTCAATTATATTCCTATATTGCTCACACAATATACAATTGTACATACCACATATCAATTTCAATAATTTTACTATAAGCATTTTTTTTTTTTAAATACATTATAACATTAGTTCTTACTTATATTATAGTAGAGAGTATGGCAGTGGACGACATACCCACGACAACAGTTAACGACCGGCCAGAGACCGTCAATGTTCCTGCTTCTACTGAAACCAAAGGTAATACAGCTTTTTTTGTGTTTTACATTCTACTTTTATCTTGTGAATTTCTTCCCTATCGTCAATTATATTCCTATATTGCTCACATAATATACAATTGTACATACCACATATCAATTTCAATAATTTTACTATAAGCATTTTTTTTTTTTTAAAATACATTATAACATTAGTTCTTACTTATATTACAGTAGAGAGTATGGCAGTGGACGACATACTTACGACAACAGTTAACGACCGGCCAGAGACCGTCAATGTTCCTGCTTCTACTGAAACCAAAGGTAATACAGCTGTTTTTTTGTTTTACATTCTACTTTTATCTTGTGAATTTCTTCCCTATCGTCAATTATAGTCCTATATTGCTCACACAATTAAATTATGACAATAATTTTTACTTATATTACAGAAGAGTCCGAGACAGATTCTGACAGTTCTACAGATACAGACGTTTCATCATCTGACGAAAATGAAGTAGACCAAAAAACTGACGATGAAGGTTCTATACAATCGACAGGAAGTAGCGACGTAGACTCACTTTATAAATACCATTGTCCCAAATGTGATTTATCCTTCAAATATGATTGTTGGTATAAAAGACATATGGCAACCCATAACCCAGGGACTTATACATGCCAATATTGCCCTAAAGTTTTCAAAAGGAAAGACACTATGAGAGAACATCAACACCTTCATTTGGGTGGGGTGAAGCATAAATGCAAGCATTGCTACAGAGAATTCTGCGATAAGAGAAATATGAACATGCATATTAAATTGATCCATCAAGACTCAATGGTCAAATGTAAGAAATGTGACAAAAAGTATTCGGGAGAGAGACAATTGAGGTATCACGACAACCGTGTACATTCAAAAAAAAAACCATATGAGTGCAACATATGTGCTGAAAGATTTCCTGTACCCTGCATGCTCTCAGTCCATCGTCTTAAAATGGTAAAATATTGAAACTTTATTAAAAAAAAATATGAATTTATTAACATTGATATTGTTTTTTTTTTTTCAGGATCACAAACAATAAAATATATAATATATACCTATGTAGTTGTTTGTTACTTTTTCTATCTACTATTTTTCGTTTATATTTGTATCTAATAGTTGTATATTTTTTTTTTTAGTTGTGTTAAAATAAATAGACATAATATATAATATGTATATAATAACCTAACCTTTCACAAAAGTGAGTCTACATAATGTGCCGGCGAGTATACTTAACCTGGTGAGTCTATATATGCCGGGTGAGTCTAATGAGTCTATTAGTTTAGCATACGGTGGCCGTATTATTATCGGTATTCAAGCACAGTTTATTTTTATGGTTATTTTAAGTTCAAATTTGGACGAAATTACATATTAAAAAACCTAGAATAACTATTTTAGTTATTTTCTTGTGATAAGATTAATTTGGAATTTATTATAGGTACCTGTGATCAGGGGCGGATTGGGGAGAGATTTCGGCCCGGGAAAATACAAAGTATACCGGCCCACTTACCAATTTACCAAATATTTAAATTTAGCCAACATTATAATATTATTATGTATTACTATTTTAACATAACTACACGTTTGGTGAGATATGAAATTTATAAAACTTTATTCGTAGTGTATATACATTATACAACGATATCAAATTTATTTTTATTTTTGAACAGTTTATGTTTACACATTTATAATAATCCAAACTCCAAGTACTTATATAACACAGTAAAAGTGAATAATTTAAATTACAAATGTTACGATTTTTGTATTTAATAAGAAAGATTATTACCTATTCAATAATATTTAATAATGCGTTTTTAGACTTAAATAAAAGCTTATAATTTACTTCCACTTAATATACCTGATAGGTAAATTAACAGAATCAACATGCAAAATGTATGTGTATCTTTTTATTTTCTAAAAAAATGTATTACTGTGGTTTATTCATAATAACATTATGTAGGTACTTAAATTCTAAACAACCAAAAAAAATTTTATAGTCTTGTTTTTCTTTAGTATTTTTATGTAATATAATATTGAGTAAAATGTTTTGTCTCCGTCTTAGTACAATCACCAGTATATTAATAAAAAAAATACATTCATCGTTACACTCAGAATTTAAAATGAATCGTTGAATGTGTTAAATTGATTCTTGAAAAAAAACATGCAATTAGATAGCCGATTGAAGTACTTCCATTGCTACCTGACCATCTTGTTGTTCAACATTAATCTTTTAAGTGACCCTTAAAAGAAATTTTCATTGTTAATGAATTCATAATTGTTTAATGAAGTTCTAAATTATTACCGTTTTTTTACGATGCTCTGCAAGTAAACATGGTACTGGAAATGACTCGTCACATTTGCTGCACTTGTAAGGTTTCTTAAATGTATGCATTCTATTGTCGTGGTATTTCAACTGTCTTTGTCCAGAATACTTTTTGGGACATTTGGGGCATTTGATTAATGAACCTTTATGCTTTAATTTGACATGAGCATTTAAGTTTCGATTATCTTGAAATTCTCGTTTGCAATCTTTGCACTTATGTTTTGTACCAACCAAATGCAGGTATTGGTGCTCTTTCAGTATGTCTTTTGCTTGGAGGGTGTTGTGACACTGAGGTCGGATGTTAAGCCAGTGTTAGTGAAAAGTGTTCACTATTGTCCGGCAACTAAAAAACTACATGAACATATTCACACTGACTTCCTATCCACCTCATTTGCCTTCGATTCTGCTACTTCCGACTGTACTTACCCGATTAGAGACAATGAGGGCAATCTCTTGGAGACTGAGTTTGGGATCTCAGTCTTCAAAGATCGGCAGACCCTTATCATTCGACAATCAACTGAGACAAGCCCAGCCGGGGAACCAGGTTAAAAACGGCTCGTACGGTCTCGACACAAGACGCCGAATTTCATCACGGGCCTCCAAACAATAAAAATCTCGAAGTTTAAGAAACGTCAGACGACATGCTGAGTTTTTCCGGAAAAACTTTGGGGGGGGGGGGGTCAAAAGTACCCCGGATACGGGTTTTTGCCCTTCTCATCTTCGTAATTGCTTGTCTTACTTCTTCCTCGCCGAATTGATCGTCTCCATCACCATCCTCCTTCTCCATCATTATCTCCCGTTTTCTTTTAGGTGTCTCTAATACTTCTTTAAAGTTGTAAGTTAACCGAACAAGTTCTATTACAATGTAAAAGTTAATTGAATTTAAAAAAAAAAAAAAATATATAATATAGAAGATTTCATAACTATACGACTTATATTGAAGGATTTAGTTATCTCTCAGAGGTAATCGTATATCACGATATGATGGTGTGAACGGGTTCAAACCTTGGTAACACAGAGTCTAAATGTTCCTTCCCAGGGTCGCAATAGCTAGGGATGATCGGGGGATGGTCGTTTTTTCGCCAAAAAATCGAGAGGTACCCCCCCGTTGAGAACTTTGTTCATTTACCGGATGAATCCCGCGGTAGACCAACAATGCACAATGAGATCCCTGACCACGTGATATTGATGTCACGCTCGCCAAATGCACAGGGACGGTAGCTTAGGGTACTCGCTACGATGTGTACAATTTTCAAGACGATCGGTCGAAGGGTTGATCTTTTACGGATTTTGGAATTTTTTAAAACACGAATATCATTAATATAGCGTAGTACTGTGCGCGGATCCATGTATATCACGATATGATGGTGTGAACGGGTTCAAACCTTGGTAACACAGAGTTTAATAAAGTTTCAAAACATTAGTTTGGCATACGGTAGCCGTATTATTATCGGTATTCGGACTTTCTGCGGTAATGGTCTCCTCATCGCTCACCAGTAATAAAATATTTATATATCCACGCAGGTACTGTCCGCTACCAGGTAATGTTTTGTCCACGCCACCCACTAGTAGATAGAGAATTGCTTTTTTTATGGAATTATGACGATGCTTACCAAACTCGCAGGGATGGCAGCTAAGGGCACTAGTAACGAGCTGTGGAGGTTTCAAGTCGGTAGGTGAAACCGGTCGATATTCAAAGATCACCCTAAAGATCATCCCCAAGATTCGAAATTTACGCATAGACTCACTCGGTACAAATACTCACCTGGCCTATGTGGAGACTTACCCGGCATAAACCTACACTCTACCTGCATATACTTAGACTCACCCGGCACCATTCGGACTCACTTTGTCGACCCTCACACCAGGCTATGGTAGCCAAGAACATTTGCAATATTGCAGTGAAGGTTTCAAGTCGGTAGTACTTTTATAAGAGTTTTAATTAATTTCTGAATTAGAAATTTACAGAACTGCCGGGTGAATTCCGTGCGATCGGACAGACACCGGCCGTCAGCTCGGTGCATACGGGGTTTTTGATATTTTTACACGAAACTAGCAGGGATGGGAGCCAGGAACATTTGCAATGAAACAATGAAGGTTTCAAGTCGGTAGTCCTATTATTAGAGTTTTAATTAATTTCTGAATTAGAAATTTACAGAACTGCCGGGTGAATTCCGTGCGATCGGACAGACACCGGCCGTCAGCTCGGTGCATACGGGGTTTTTGATATTTTTACACGAAACTAGCAGGGATGGGAGCCAGGAACATTTGCAATGAAACAATGAAGGTTTCAAGTCGGTAGTCCTATTATTAGAGTTTTAATTAATTTCTGAATTAGAAATTTACAGAACTGCCGGGTGAGTTATTTAAAAAAAAATTATTAAAAAATAACCATAATCCCTACAGGTATAAAAAATATGTTCCTGGAAAGAGTAAATACTCTGATAGTCTGATATCCTCTAGAATTGATTATAAGATTAACTCTTGCGATGGTTGGCGAGGAGAAGCTATACACCGCAGCAAGTCAGTATTTCTCGCATTTATTCAAACGTTATGCATACGGTATACCGTAATAAAACGACTGGTCATACGAAAAAAACACGTAAATCGTTTTTCAACTTTTTGTTACGCAGATTACGGACGAAATAAAGGTCGTACGTACTCGGACCATAGAGGCTTTTCGATTTCCCGTACGCCAAATAGTCAGGTTCTAAAGGTCGGTAGCGATCGATGGGGAAAAAAAAACCAAAAATGCATGCGCTCAATCAATTTTCCGAGTAAAAAAAATAAACTAAAAATCATAACTCCACAACCAAAAGTCGGATCACCTCGCTGTCGGTGCCGTTAGATTCGGGGCAAAGTGGTCTATAAAATACGACTAAAAAAACGGCTCGGACCGCCCAAAATCCAAGTGTTTCTGCCAAAAAACACGAAAAATTACTGTTTTTAAATTTTTGACCCCCCCGAAGACGGTTAAAAACGGCTCGTACGGTCTCGACACAAGACGCCGAATTTCATCACGGGCCTCCAAACAATAAAAATCTCGAAGTTTAAGAATTATTAAAGAACTATTAGGTGTACAAGTTTCAAAAATAAGAATTGAGAATTACGGTGTCCAGTACTTATAACTGAAAAAATGATTTTTTGATTGCAGTTCTACGGTGCTAAATCCCGTACTTACCTGCCGGACGGCCGTTATTTGTACTTGTTGTTCTCAAAAACTATAAGGGATGATAGTAGAGGTAACGATAAATGCAGTCATACCATTTTCATGACTCCAAGTCAAAACCCTGATTTTATACGATTTTTTGAACTGGGGCATAGCTGCCTTGCTGCCGGGTTGCCATGCAACCCAGCGGTTAATTTTCAAACTTACCTCCCGGGTGCCCGTTATTTGGACTTGTACTGTTCAAAAACTATAAGGACTGATAGCGGAGGTAAAGAGGAATGCACTCATGCCATTTTCATGACTCTAAGTCAAAACCCTGATTTTATACGATTTTCTAAAATACCTACCGACGATATACGTAAATATCAATACATAGATACCATGAAATATTTAGAATACCCCAGTAATGAAGACATTTTTAAAAATAACATGTCTTTTGAAAAATCACCAAAAACCCAATAATTGTACTATCGTTATGAAAAGCACATCGTCAGATAGATATAATCGGTGGCTATTAGGTGTACAAGTTTCAAAAATAAGAATTGAGAATTACGGTGTCCAGGACTTATAACTGAAAAAATGATTTTTTGATTGCAGTTCTGCGGTGCTAAATCCCGTACTTACCTGCCGGACGGCCGTTATTTGTACTTGTTGTTCTCAAAAACTATAAGGGCTGATAGTGGAGGTATTGAGGAATGCACTCATGCCATTTTCATGACTCTAAGTCAAAACCCTGATTTGGTATGAGTCTATATATTTAACCGTATGAGTCTATATATTTTAACCGTATGAGTCTATATATTTAACCGTATGAGTCCATAGTGTGCCGTTTGAGTCTATATATTTAACCGAATGAGTCTATATATTTAACCGTATGAGTCTATAGTGTGCCGTTTGAGTCTATATATTTAACCGTATGACTCTATAGTGTGCCGTATGAGTCTATATATTTAACCGTACGATACGTAACGCATTTTTCTTCTTCAAAATCTTGTTTCATCTATGTTTCACAATTTTACGTACGTAACGCATTTATCTTCTTGAAAACTCTAATAATAGGACTACCGACTTGAAACCTTCATTGTTTCATTGCAAATGTTCCTGGCTCCCATCCCTGCTAGTTTCGTGTAAAAATATCAAAAACCCCGTATGCACCGAGCTGACGGCCGGTGTCTGTCCGATCGCACGGAATTCACCCGGCAGTTCTGTAAATTTCTAATTCAGAAATTAATTAAAACTCTAATAATAGGACTACCGACTTGAAACCTTCATTGTTTCATTGCAAATGTTCCTGGCTCCCATCCCTGCTAGTTTCGTGTAAAAATATCAAAAACCCCGTATGCACCGAGCTGACGGCCGGTGTCTGTCCGATCGCACGGAATTCACCCGGCAGTTCTGTAAATTTCTAATTCAGAAATTAATTAAAACTCTTATAAAAGTACTACCGACTTGAAACCTTCACTGCAATATTGCAAATGTTCTTGGCTACCATAGCCTGGTGTGAGGGTCGACAAAGTGAGTCCGAATGGTGCCGGGTGAGTCTAAGTATATGCAGGTAGAGTGTAGGTTTATGCCGGGTAAGTCTCCACATAGGCCAGGTGAGTATTTGTACCGAGTGAGTCTATGCGTAAATTTCGAATCTTGGGGATGATCTTTAGGGTGATCTTTGAATATCGACCGGTTTCACCTACCGACTTGAAACCTCCACAGCTCGTTACTAGTGCCCTTAGCTGCCATCCCTGCGAGTTTGGTAAGCATCGTCATAATTCCATAAAAAAAGCAATTCTCTATCTACTAGTGGGTGGCGTGGACAAAACATTACCTGGTAGCGGACAGTACCTGCGTGGATATATAAATATTTTATTACTGGTGAGCGATGAGGAGACCATTACCGCAGAAAGTCCGAATACCGATAATAATACGGCTACCGTATGCCAAACTAATGTTTTGAAACTTTATTAAACTCTGTGTTACCAAGGTTTGAACCCGTTCACACCATCATATCGTGATATACATGGATCCGCGCACAGTACTACGCTATATTAATGATATTCGTGTTTTAAAAAATTCCAAAATCCGTAAAAGATCAACCCTTCGACCGATCGTCTTGAAAATTGTACACATCGTAGCGAGTACCCTAAGCTACCGTCCCTGTGCATTTGGCGAGCGTGACATCAATATCACGTGGTCAGGGATCTCATTGTGCATTGTTGGTCTACCGCGGGATTCATCCGGTAAATGAACAAAGTTCTCAACGGGGGGGTACCTCTCGATTTTTTGGCGAAAAAACGACCATCCCCCGATCATCCCTAGCTATTGCGACCCTGGGAAGGAACATTTAGACTCTGTGTTACCAAGGTTTGAACCCGTTCACACCATC